CTCGAAGGCTGGCTGTGGAGGAAATGCAGATCCAGAGAAGTTCCTTACCTTGTCCGCTGTCACCGAAATGTTAAGTAGCAGAGCTAGAACTCAAGACACGGCTGCAGACACAGACAGACAGAGAGACAGAGTCAGAGACATCGACTTGTTGTTCCACTTACTTATGTATTCATTGGTTGCTTCTTGTATGTGCCCTGACGGGGGATCGAACCCACAATCTTGGCGTATCGCAGGGGTGGGGACCTTTTCCTGCCAAGGGCCATTGGGATATTTGTAACATCTTTCGGGGGCCATACACAATTATCAACTTAAAAATTAGCCTGCTGTATGTGGTCAAACATTTAATTAACTCACCCCTGGTGCCTTAATAGGGCCAGACCAAATGATTTTGCTGGTGTTATATGGCCCGAGGCCTGGACGGTCCCCACCCCTGGATATCGGGACAAGGCTCTAACAAACCAAGCTACCTGGCCAGCGCCGGAGGCCCTCTTTTAGGGCATATTTGAGTGACATATTCAGGGCCACAGAGGGGACAGAAGACAACTTGAGGGAATGCTGCTGGGGAAAGGAGGGGAGAGGAGAGATGCTCTCACCATTGAAACTTGCAGAGGCCCGCTTCTGCATGAGAAGGCCAGCACTAGAGTGTGGATGAGAGTCAAATACTTTTTGAAGGATCCAGAGGCGTAAGGTTGCTTTTGTCCCTAGTCCGGTGTATTTAGCATAGTTTACTTAAAAGAGATATTTAATGAGAAGAGAACACTTGTGCTATGGGAAATCTTCATTATTTATCAGCTAATTTAATAGTGTATTTAGTTGACGCTCAAACAACATCGGTTTGAACTGCATGGGTCCACTTATGTGGATTTTTTTTCAACAAATATATTGGAAATTTTTTTGGAGACTTGTGACAATTTGACAAAACTCACAGGTGAACCACTGAATAGCCTAGAAATATTGAAAATATTAAGAAAAAGGTGCCTAACCAATGGATACAGACAACAGGGGGGTGAGGGCGTGAGTGGGGAGGATGGGGATAATGTGGGGATAAGGACACATGTAATAGCAATTAAAAAAATAAAGTAGAAATAAGCAACAAAAAAAAAAAAAGAAAAAGGTATGTCATGAATGTATAAAAGATATATTTGTATTTTCTCTTCCTTATAATTTTCTTAACATTTCTCTAGCTTAATTGTAGGAACACAGTATATGATATATATAACATAAAATATGTGCTAGTCAGCTGTTTATTAGCAGTAGGCTATTAGTAGTTATGTTTTGGGGAGTCAGAAGTTACACTGGGGTTTTTGACTGTGTGGGGTCGGTGCCCCTAACCCGCATTGTTCAAGGTCAGCTGTATATGTTACCGGCGGGCGCTGTGGGCTGCAGGGACTGGATTGATAGTGCTTGGTCGTCGCTGTGGGGTGTCCTCTTCTCCCTGAGGACTGGCCGCGGGACGGCAGGTGGGTGGCCCTCAGCACAGTGTCTCCGCAGGCTGCCCTGATGGTCTCCCTCATTTGGAAATATTATTCGGTTCCTGTGGCTGTGGTGCCCAGTAAGTGGATAACTCCGCTCGACCGGCTGGTGGCGTTTCCCACTAGAGTAGCAGGTAAGCGCTTCCCGGGAAACATAGTGGGAGACTGTGGAGAGACTTAGGAGGAGGTGTGTGGTAGGTTAAGTCAACCTGACACCGTCCTCATCGTCCATTTCACAAGCCTGCTTATTCCAACACCACTTCCATTCCCAGATTCTGCAGCCCTTTCAGTTCTAGGCATAGCGAGGGCATTTATGGCTCTCGGCCATTTTTTTATATGTGAATGATAATTTCTTTTGTATGATAAAAGTAGTACATGTCATTGTGGGATGACTAAAAAGAAAAGAAAAATGAAAGAAAACTCATTAACTATGGATAACCTCTTAGACTGTGCTATATTTTTCCAGTCTTTTTCTATTTATTTTTATACAAGGATGGGCAAAAGTAGGTTTACAGTTATGATTACATGAAACACAGCTTATTCTTGTATTATTATTTATTCTTGTATTATTATTTATTCTTGTATTATTATTTATTCTTGTATTATTATTTATTCTTGTAGTCTTATTTATTCTTGTATTATTATTTATTCTTGTATTATTATTTATTCTTGTATTATATATTACATTTGAACAACTGTAGACTTACTTTTGCCCACCCTTGCATAGTTAAGGTTGTCTAGCTTTTTGTCCCTTTTTACTTTATATTGTAAGCCTTCTCCCATATCAATAAACTTTTCTTTATTAAGGAGTTTTGAATAGCTGTTCTTCATTTGGATGTGTCATAATTTACTAATTTTCCTGTTAAAAATTAGGTCCTAATTTTTTCTACCAAGAATAATGCTATAGCACACCTCCTTTTCAGTCAGTTTTTGGTTGTGATTTGTGATCATGCTGGAGGTGAATTACTAAATCAAAAGGAATGACTATTTCAATTTAACCACTTCCCTCCCCCACCCCCTTTGTGGGACTCAGCCTTGAGGGCAGTACTGGTGCAAGAGGCCACTCTTGCCGGCAGCCAGCAGGCCACTGGCCACTCTTGCAGCCTGTCTTCCTGTCTCTCATTGACCAGTGGGACAGGAATGGTGTGGGTAAACATTGCTTCATTCATGACGCTCTTTGAGAAGGGAAAACCAAATAGTGTCACAGAGTGGCCTTCCAGCCTACGAATATTGTGAATAATAAAGTTTATTTCTCGGTAGAGAAGAGGAACTCAAACCAGCGCTCATGGTTCTGTATAATTCCTGCTTAGTAAGGAAGGCAGCCCTGTGATTTAATCGAAAGTCTGATGCATTGGAACCCACGAAATACAAACTTTGTCTTAGCCCAGCACTGCTCCAAAAGAATGGAACTACTCTTACTTCCTCTAGACAGTGGTTCCCAGCCTTTTGTTGGCCACGTCCCACCCAAGCATCTCTAACATCCCAATGCCCCTGCCCCCCGTGACACATAATTCTTATTATTCAAAAAGTGACTCCTATGCACGTGGAGGAAGCCTAAAAGGCCATTCACGTGGTCTAAACAAGCTTCCAAAGAACATGGCAGCCATGAAAGAGAAAAAAGAATAAAAGAAGTTGAAGTCCTGAGGAAGAAATCACTAAGAAATTGTTAAAAAAATAATAATATGAAGTGATATGAAAAAATAACAAAGTTTCAAAAGATAAAATAGAGAACTGGCATAAATATGTCACAGTATGTATTTATATAGTGTATATGAAGCCCCTGGAACCATAAGAAATGCAAAAGGTTCATTGTTAATAACTTATATTCGAATCGCCCCCCTGTGGGGCTTGTGCCCCACGTTGGGAACAAAGGCAGGGAATGTGGGCAGAACGCGTGCTGTGCTCTCACGTTGAATTTCTTTATTTTCAGGTGGTGTTGGAGTCACCTGCTGGATTTTAGTCTGTAACAAAGTTGTGGCTATTATGCTTCATCCTTTCAGCTGAAAAAGAAGATGAATACAGCTCTGAGACTTTGAAAAATGAATTTTCACTTAGGTTAAAAATCTGACTTAAACTGTTTTATTGTCTTGTATTTGTTTAAGAAACAAAAGAGTGCAGGCTAGTTCTTTTGATGACCTGCTTGTTCTTGGATTTTATGTGAGATTCTTATAAGAATTAAATTTGTACACTTGTCATTGAGGCAGAGAGGTCTGTCACGCCTCCGTACTGGCCAGCAAAGCAGCAGATTTGTGTTAAGAAATGTGACATTACAGGCATCTATCTACATGTTGTTACTTGTGATTTGCACACTTGGCATATTTTAAGTATGCTTTTTAAAAATTGATTGCAGAGATGTGAAGGGAGAGGGAGAGAGAGGGAGAAACATCAATGATGAGAGAAAATTATCAATTGGCTGCCTCTCATGCACGAACCCTATTGGAGATCAAGCCTGAAACCTGGGCATGTGCCCTGACCAGAAACCGAACTGTGACCTGGTTCATGGGTTGACACTCAACCACTGAGCCACACTGGCTGGGCATCTCTTGGCATATTTTAAAGGTCACATTGCCAATTGGAAAGTCAACATTTTCTCATAATTTAAGTACTTTAAAGACTTCATACTACTTTTAATCCAGATTAGAAAGCAATTTAATATCACTACTAGAATTTGAAAATTTGTTTTTTAATCTCATGCAGCACCACTGAGAATAACACTACTGACATTGCCTGTGCTTGTCTTTGGTTTAAAATGTCATCTGTTGAGCAAGCCTTGGTGGAGTATTATCTCCTTATTTGAAGCTGTTACTTTTTCATTTCCGAGTTTTATAAATGTATTTGTGAGATCATTACACATTGTTTTGTGCTTGAATTATGTGTTTTGTACTTAAAGCATTTCAAATGAAATGTATTTATAAGCATTTAATATTTATGCTCCATAGAACGGAACAAAGTTAAAGTAGGAAGCCTGATTAAATTAATTCAAATGGATACATGTTTGGCCCATAAAATATAATGCTGCTAAATATTTTTAAAACACTTCTTTACTAATTAAAATCTTTGCAAGTGCTTGTATGACTTCCTTCCTTACAGCCACTCATTTGCTATGACCAGTCTGTAACTGACAAGTGGCAGAGGGCTTTAACCATTAACTACGTCGGCTGCAGCACCTTAAAGCCAGATTCCATCACTAGGTTTGAAAAGATCATGTTCTTGTGCTCCTTAGTGACCCAGTGAGGAGCTCACTGTGCTTCCTGCTAGTTGTACCGTGACATGACAAAGCGCTATGTGACTTCCGTTTATCGGACTGGAGTGTCTCAGATTCCCTGATCGTTCAGACTTACCTGGCAGCAGGCTGACGTGGCTTTGAGGAAGGATGCAGAGCCAGGAGCACAGCTGTTTCTACAGACAGTATCGTGAGAGCTCCGACTCCAGCTCCACTGTCAGTCACCACAGGGCACACGTGGCCACAAGGGTGAGATGCCAACCTGACGGGGGAGATGGCAGCAGCACAAGGAGGATGCAGGGTCCAGGGTCCGTAGAGGCCACAGTCTGATGCCCACCTGAGCTGCAGGCAGCTGGACGGGTTGCGTAGTCTCGATCGAGCGGCCAGGTGCACGTGCCCAGGGATGTCCTTGGGACACTAAGCCGTTTCAAGCCTCCCTGACAAGACCCACATTTATCTCCTAAGGATATATTCTCTCAGTTAGTACTGCAATTATGACAGATTTCACTGAGGCTGGAGGAAGAGATTTACATTTCACAGCTGTTAACGCTTTCCACGTACATTAATAGTGAAGATTAAATAGGGGAAGCTTAAATGTTCGTCATATTTCACATCATTGTTTTTAAATAGATAATAAACTTGGTATTGCCCTGGCCAGTGTTTATCAATGGTTAGAGCATTGGCCCGTGGACCTAAGGGTCTTGGGTTCAATTCCTAGTCAAGGCCATGTACCTGGGTTGCAGGTTCATTCCTTAGGCCCAGTTGGGGTGGGTGCAGAGGGTAACCAATTGATGTGACCCTCTCACCTTGATGTTTGTCTCTATCTCTACCTCTCCCCCTCCTCCCTCTCTTCCACTTTCTCTAAAAAAAAAAAAAAAAAAAAATCAATGGAAAAATATCCTCAGATGAGGATTAAAAAAAACAAACATGGTACTGAATTTAAAACATAGAAAAGGATACATTTAAAAGTTCATTGGGGGCGGGTGTGGCATGGAGAGGGTAAATGGGGAAACAAGGGGAAATCTGTAATATTTTCAACAATAAAGATAAATAAAAAAACCCCAAAAACATCTCCTGACCCTTTTACTGTCGTGTCGCCCAATTTCCTCTGTTACCAGTTTCTTATGATTCTTCCAATGATCCCATACATTTATGGATATTGATATGTGTGGTTTTAAAATAAAAATTTTAAATTATAAAAGTAGTACCTAAAAAAATAACTGGTGCTTTTTTTTTTTAATCCTATTTGAAAAGTCCAGAAAATGAATGAGGAAGCAAATTCTCCCATGATTCCACATTACGGGGATTACTGGTATTAATGTTTGTATATTTATGTATACTTATGGATAATTATAGATTTGTGTTTCTATTAAAAAAGACTGGGTATAGATAGTTTCTAGCTTTAGATGAGACATCTGTTTGATTTAAAGTATCTAAAGCTCTCTTCATGCCAATTGGGTTTCCTGTATAGTAGTATTTATGGTAAATCAAGCAGGGAAATATTTCTATATACAAATCCACAATCATTTTTTTATCCTCACCTGAGGATATTTTTCCATTGATTTTTAGGGAGAGTGTAAGGGAGGGGGAGAGACAGACACATTGATTGGTTGCCTTCTGAGGACACTCTGACCAGGGCTGGGGATTGAGCCTGCAACCACAGCACGTGCCCTTGACTGGCAAACTGTGACTTCAGTCCACAGTCCAACGCTCTATCTGCTGAGCCAAACCAGCCAGGGTGAAACAGATGCTTGTTAAACCTTTTCACTCTGTTCATGTCTACTAACCTATTTCCTGTCTCTGTGCTTTGATATTGATCAGTGCTTCAGATCTTTTACTCTCTTCATTCTGGTCTCCTCTGCTGTTAAACCTGTTTGTTGAGTTAATTTAAATTATTATATGTCTTCTGAGTTGTCACAGATGCTGAATTCTTACTCTTTTTAATTCATATTTTCAAAAACTTTTTATTTCTTCAGACATTTATTTTCTGTGTATAATTCCAATAGGTGAAGTCTTTGCAGATCTGGTCCTTATATGTTATTCCTCTTGGTTCTCTTAGCACCTTGTTCTTTTTGTGTTTAACTGTAGGAATTTCCTGCGGCCTGAGTTGAAGATAGGTTCTTCCAGCCCGGCCGCTGTGGCTCAGTGGTTGGGCATCGACCTATGAACCAGAAGGTCACAGTTCGATTCCCGGTCAGGGCACATGGCTGGGTTGCTGGCTCAATCCCTGGTGTGGGGCATGTGGGAGGCAGCTGATCAATAATTCTCATCATTGAGATTTTATCTCCCTTCTCTGAAATTTATACATAAAGGAAAACAAAAAGATAGGCTCTTGCAGAAAGGATTTGTATTTCTACTGCTCTGGGGCTACTACCAGCCTAGATCTCTTTAAACTTTACTTTTAGGTTCTATCAACCAATCCAATTTCAATCTGTCAAACAGGGTGAGGGTGGACTGGCCACAGTCTCTGAGTTTAAGACAATTCCTCAGCTTGTTGAGGCTGAGGCCTGGCCGGCCAGGGGTCGTGGGAGGGACCTTCTCTTAGGCTTCTACTTGGGCTGATGGGTGTTGTTCTTTGGGTTTGGCCCTGGAGGCGTTTCTGATGCCCAGTTCTCCAGTTTTCGCAAATGCCCTTTAGGCCAAAGCTGATTTCAGAGACACAGCCTCCCTGGGGCCTCCTTTCACTTAGTGTTCACCAGCTGAACTGATTAAAGACATGTTTGTTCTAGAAAGGAAACCTTGGGAGCAGCGGTTGTCAACCGGTGGCACGGACCACTGGTGGTCTGTGAGGTCCGAAAGGTTGGCGACCTCCGTTGTAGTTAATACAGCATTTTTAGCCTTTCTATAGCAGGAGCGCCAAAGTACCTTGTCTACCAGAGTACAGGAAATGAATTTCTCTTAAGAAATATTTTTAAAATATGTTTTAATTCTCAGTGAACAGACTAAAAGGAATTTGAGATCTTAGGAACTTCTATTAGTGAAATTTTTCCCATTTAAAATACACTGGACCTTAAAATGTTTTGTGGACCAATTCAGTCAGTCTCTTTTCTTAGTGATGCCAAGTGTTGAAAACGGAAGAGTTAATCAGATTCTCGTTGCTCTCAGTAGCAGTAAAGTAAAACTGTACTTTATTCTCCAGCACTTTCTACACCCAAGCGTCTAAAATATTTCATTTAAAGTGGTTATTATTTCCATAAGCCAAATGCTGTATATATGTTAACATTGTTTTCTAACAATCAAATATTAACATTTATGCTTTGGTGCTTGACTTAAAAATATTTATTATAAAAAATATGTTTTTATTGATTCAGAGAGAAAAAGTAAGGGAGAGGAAGAGAGAGATAGAAACATCCATGAGAGAAATATCATCTATTAGTTGCCTCCTGCACACTCCCTGCTGGGGATGGAGTCTGAAACCCAGACTTGTGTCCTGACCGGAAATCGAACCAGTGACCTGGTGCATGGGTCGACACTCAACCACTGAGCCACACTGGATCGCTTTTTATTTAAAACATCTTTCCCTCCTGATTATACAGCTATGTTCAGTATTGAAAATCATAGAAAATAAATACACTGAAAATAAATTAAAAATTGACCACAATCTTCTTCCTTAGAGATAGAAGTTAGCATTTTATTATCTATTAGAGGCCCAGTGCATGAAATTTGTGCATTGAGGTGTGTGTCGGGGGGTTCCCCTTAGCCCAGACCACACCCTCTCCAATCCGGGACATCCCTCTCACAGTCTTGGACTGCTGGCTTCTAATCGCTCACCTGCCTGCCTGCCTGGTCGCCTCTAACTGCCCCCTCTGCCAGCCTGATTGTCCCTCACTGCCTCTGCATGCTGGCCTGATTGCCCCTAACTGTCCCCCCTGCCGGCCTGGTCACACTTAATTGCATCCCACTGCTGGCCAGGTCACCCCCAGTTGCCCCCTCCCTGATGGCCTGGTCACTCCTTACTGCCCCCCCTGCTGGCCCCTGTTGCCCCTCAACTGTCCCCCTTTGCCCACCTGGTCGCCCCCAACTTCCCCCCCCGCCGGCCTGGTTGCCTCTTACTGCCCCCCTGCTGTCCTGGTTGCCCCCAACTGCCCCCCTCCCCTCTGCCAGCCTGGTCGCCCCTAACTGTCATTTGGTCATCCCTCACTAACCCCCCCTGCCAACCTGGTCACCCCATGCAGCCTGCTTGTTCAGTCGTTTGGTTGTCCTTCACTAACCCCCTTGCTGGCCTGGTCACCCCATGCAGCCTGCTTGTTCAGTCGTTTGGTCGTCCCTCACCCCTCTGCTGGCCTGGTCATAGGCAGCCATGTTGTGAGGATTAATTTACATATTACCTCTTTATTATATAGGATAATAATAAAAGTGTAATATGCTAATTAGACCAGACAGCCAAACGACCTTCAAGATGTCCTTCCAGATGAAGCCGGGGCTGCGAGGGCCGAGCCCCTTGCATGAATTTCATGCATAGGGCCTCTAGTCTTATGCATATATCTTTAAAATAATCTTAATTAGATGACTAGAAAGTAACAAGCTTAGATTATATTTTTTTAAATAGTGCCCTAGAGAAGCACTTTTAGGCAGTTCTGATTTAATGTTATGATTGTGCTTTTGTTGTGGGTAGGCATAAGGAAAGGTCCCCTGAAAAATTCTCCATCTGCTCTAAAGCTGGAGTAGACATTGTAATATTGTCCTATTACACCATTTCTAAGAGTCATTTTAGTAAATTTCTCCAGAATTTAGGGCTAGTCAGTTATGTCATTTCATGTGCATTTGCATAGTCCCCTGTGTAAGCTGTGGAAATTCTAAGTGTTCTCTCTCTGCCCCCCCCCGTCTCTCCTTCCTTCTGTTTTCCCCACTGTAGTTTTCATAAAGGTCAAAGCTTATGCCACTTGTAGTCTTTATCTTTGGTTTTAAATACAATTCTTTTCCCATCATAACTTGTACTGCCCCCCCTTTTTATACTCCCTTTTAAAAGTTTATTTTTTATTTTCAATTTTTAAAAGTGTTAATATTACATACCAACCCATAAACATCCTTGGAAACACTGTGGTCTAAATCTATATATATAAAAGCCTAAGTGACCATTTGACTGTTTGACCCATAGCTATGATGTGCACTGACCACCAGGGGGCAGACACTCTGACTGGTAGGTTACCTTGCTATTGGGGTCCGGCCAATCGGGACTGGGTGAGTGGGGCTGGACACACCCTGAAGCCCTCCCGCAGCCCTTCCCCTGCCCCGATCATCCATTGGTGGTTTCCCTCAGCCTGGCCTGTGCCCTCTCACAATCCGGGACCCCTCAGGGGTCCGTGCACTGGGCCTCTAGTTATAAATAAGTTGCTCTTACAACTAAATGAATGCAGCCCTGGCCAGATAGCTCAGTTGGTTACAGTGTTCACCAATGAGCCAAGGTTGAGAGTTCAGTTCCCATTCAGGGCACACGCAGGAAGTCATCAATGAATGCATAAATAAGTGAAACAATACATTGATGTTTCTCTCTCTCTTAAAATATATAATCTAAAAAAATGAAGGCAAGTTAACTGATGAACATTGAGAGTACAGCCCTTTTTGTATAGTCCTAAAATAAAGTATTCTAGGTGTAAAGAATACATTAATCAGGACCGAGCAGCTAACTTGTGGATACTATATCCATATGCTTTTTAAAAAATTATATTTTTATTGATTTCAGAAAGAAATCAATAAAAGAGAGATAGAAACATCAATGATGAGAATTATTGATCAGCTGCTTCCTGCATGCCCCCTACTGGGGATCAAGCCTGCAACCTGGGCATGTGCCCTTGACCAGAATTGAACCCAGGACCCTTCACTCCACAGGCTGACGCTCTATCCACTGAGCCAACCAGCTAGGGCCCCATATACTATTTTGAAAGAACAAGATTAACAGAAAAAAAGGTCAAGGTGCAGGTATGCAACGCATATATTTAAAAATGCTGAATCCTAGGTGCACATGGGAAAGTGTTGCCCCCAAAGGCAGGACATTAGATGCCCAGTTTAGCTGAATAAGACAACACTCAAAAAATAATTTTTAAAAAGTATTATTGATTTTAGAGAGAGGAAGGGAGAGACTGAAAAACATAAATGTGAGAGAGAAACATTGATTGGCTGCCTCCAATGCATCCCTACCTGGGATGGAACCCGCAACCTGGGCATGTGTCCTCACCAGGAATTGAACCATTTACCCTTTGGTGTATGGGATGACACTGCAACCAACTGAGCCACACCAGCCAGGGCTCAAAAATAATTTTCATAAAACCAAGCTTGGTGATCACTGCTGTGTTTGTGGTTTTTAAAAAATATGGAGCCCTCTGATCATATTTTATCTTTCAAAGCTGCTTCATGCTTTTAAAGTTACAATGCAATTTGATTTTTGATAAAATTGTTATATGAATGAGCTCTGTATATCTTGGGTGGACTTGAGCAATGGAGTCCCATAGAATATGAAAACCATAATAAATGAGTCATCCAAAAGATAATGGACGTCTCAGTTATAGGAAAAATAAGGTGTCATTAGAAATGTTGTCATTGTCTAATACAAAATGGAATTTTAAAATTAGGTTAGCAATAAAACAAAACCTTAATTATCCAAAGTCAATTTATGTACTGAAAACACACACACACACACACACACACACACACACACACACACACACAGTACAAAATTAAAGGCACAAAAGAACCAGAATAGCAGACCAGACTGTATTAGAATATCGATTTTATTTAAATAATTATTTTCATGTTTCCTTCTGTAGGTGACGAGGACTGAACAGAACTCACCACAGTTACTTTAGAATCTCCAAACGCATTGCTGGCAGAGGCCTGACTAGAGGGTGGCTGCTGCATCTTACTCGTCCACGTCTCCTCAGACCCTTCAGTAGCAGGACTTGTTTGGTCGTTTTTAAAGACGCAGCCTGATCCAAAGAGTTCCTCCATGAGATTGCTCTTCTTTGCTCTGAAAGTTTCGTCTTTTGCTTTTGTTCTGGGAGACTTACCAAAAGAGGGCTCGTACCTGCCCCCGGAGTGCCTGGGCTTCAGCTCTTGGGCGCCCCCGCGCTGTTTGCCTATGCTGTGGTTGCATCGCCAGGCACCTGGTTTGGCTGGCCCACCGGACGCAGGAAGCCCATGATGCAGGTTTTCCGTGGCTTCTGAGAATAAATAATGCTTTCTTTGTCGGAGGTGTATTTTGGGGGTGTGGACATTTTTATTTGGTACCTCCTCCATGTCGCTTTGGGGGATACTTTTTTTAAGCTCTTCTTTTGCTGCATCATTTTCCTGTTGGCTTCCCCGGTCAGGGTGAATGACTTGGATTCTTTTTGATGGTAGTTCTTGTTCTATTTCTAAAGTGGTTTTCTTCTCTTGATCTGCTTTTTTCTCTCTCTGTCTTCCAGGATTCTCCAGAGCTGCTGGTACTTTCAGATGCTCCTCTTCCTTTGATAAATCTGTATTAGAAAAATAGTCAATTTGGTGATCTTTAATTTTTTTAAAAATATATTTTATTGATTTTTTTACAGAGAGGAAGGGAGAGAGATAGAGAGTTAGAAACATCGATGCAAGAGAGACATTGATCAGCTGCCTCCTGCACATCTCCTACTGGGAATGTGCCTGCAACCCAGGTACATGCCCTTGACCGGAATCGAACCTGGGACCTTTCAGTCCGCAGGCCGACGCTCTATTCACTGAGCCAAACCGGTTTCGGCAATTTGGCGATCTTTAAAATAATGGGCTTTTATTTCAAGATGGCATGCATGTTTGCCACACACATTTACACCTCCTGACAAGCACATAAAAATGACATAAAGCCGAGGCAGTAAGAGCCTACAGCGCCAGAATACGGAAAAGGTGCTCTTAGAGGCAGGGATGTGGCACTCTCCTAATCATACCAAATGAGAGAAACATGAAACCAAAAGAAAAATGATATTCCCAAGAGAACTAAAAGTTGCCAATAGGTTATTACTAAAGGTTCAAACACCACTAGCTGGAGGTAGTGCCAGTTGAAACAACAAGGATATTTTTACCCAATTGGCAAGTCATTTCGAGTTGGTGAGACTATCGGGAAACTGGAACTCTTGTTCCCAACGGGTGGGTGTGTAACTTGGTATAGCTGTATCTGGGTGGCAGTTTGGCAATACTGATTACAATTTTGAGTGAACATATTCAGAGCCTCAACAACTTCACTTCTAGGACCAAGCCCTACACACACACACACACTGGCATGTCGGGTAAGGATGTTACTGAGCACGGGTAGGGAACAGCGGCACGTCCTGAATGCCTGTCAGAGGGTCATGGTTAAATACACGATGGCATGTGCAGCCTGTGGGATTCTGGGCACTTGTGATAGAGACGCGGGGATGGATGTGCCCTGACAGGAGAGATTTCAGTTGTTAGTGAAGCAGCCGCGGGAAGAAGGGCTGCCCTTTCCGTTCCTCGCCAGGCAGCAGGGAGCCTGCCGTCAGCCCTCCCCTCTCAGGGTGGGGGTGTGGAGGCGGGGAGGCCTGTTGCAGGTACAGACGTGCACAGACCCGCAGCCACGACCAACAAGCTGGTCAGAGGAGGCCACCAGTTAGCAGGCAGAATGGCAGTCATTGTGAGGGAGAGCGGGACAGCGCTGGACGTGCAGAGAGCTGGGAAATTTCCTCACATATTCCACACATTCTGAAATGAAACTATTCACTATACTCCAAAATAATAAAAAAGGAATTCTAGCAAGAGACGAAATATGTTTCAAGAATTAGTGGTGAGCAAAGAAGCAGCAAGATGTATAGTTGATTCTAAGTAATATTATGTCCTACTGACACTTAATGCAAATGTTAAACTTTGCTAACAGGCGAAATTGCTTATTTCCCACTTCCACTGCTCCCAGTCCCAGTCCGGACCACCAGTCTCTTGCCTGGGTCATGGCACCAGCTGCGGCCTGGCCTCCCTGCCCCTGCCCTTCCTTCTCCGCAGTCCGAAGAGGCACCTCTGTTCCCGCTGGTGAAGGCGAAGCCAGGATGATGGCTGCACCCCAGAGGCAGAGGGCCACCAGTCCGTTGTGGTTTTAAAAAATATATATTTTTATTGATTTCAGATAGGAAGGGAGAGGGATAGATAGAAGCAGCAATGAGAGAATCTTTGATCTGCTGCCTCCTGCATGCCCCACACTGAGAATCCAGCCTGCAACCTGGGCATGTGCCCTTGACCAGTATGATCCCGGGACCCTTCAGTCCGCAGGCCGATCGTCTATCCACGAAGCCAGCGGTTCTCAACCTGTGGGTCGTGACCCCTTTGTGGGTCGAATGACCCTTTCACAGGGGTTGCCTAAGGCCATCTTGCATATCAGATATTTGCATGACGATTCATAACAGTAGCAACATGACAGATATGAAGCAGCAACGAAAATAATGTTATGGTTGGGTCACAGCATGAGGAACTGTATTTAAAGGGCCAGAAGGTTGAGAACCGCTGCTCTAAGCCTACCCGGCCAGGGCAAGGGCCACCAGCCTGGTAGCAGAGGCTTGAGCGTTAAGGGCTGGTGCCACCAAGACCCCTGCTCCTCTGTACCGCTCTGCAGTGTTGCCAGGTGAGCCGGTCCTGGCCGTCTGGCCCACCGCCTGGTGGAGACGGCACCCTGTCCCTGGGCTGCGGCCAGGTCAGCCAAGGGCTCCCATTTCACCCCCAGCGTGTTCTGCTCCGACCTCCTCCCAGCGCTGGAGGTGAGCCCTGGGCTCTTAGAACGGGAGGTTCTGAGCAGCCTGTTCCACCCGAACCTCTCCCAGACGCGCAGAGCAGCCCTGCCGGAGGCCGTGCGTGGTGGGTTCTCTGTGCCCAGGACGGTGCAGGACCTCGCCCTGACGGGCCCTTGTACATTCGGGCCCAGAAGCCAGAGTCTGCCGGCTGACCCCTCCCTGGAAGCCTTCGGTTGGTCTCATTAGTGGCCGTGTTGCCCTTTGCTCAGCTGGGCTTGTCTGCCACTCAGTCTGTCAGAGTGAACATGATGTTTAAGGGGACACGCGAGGACAGGGAAGTGAGAGGCAACGCAAGGGAATGAACGCGGCGTCAGAGTGAAGACTGGTTGTTTCTGGCGGGCAGGGAGGGGATGTGTTTAGGAAGGGCCCACAGTGTGTTCTGGGGACTAACGTTCTATTTGTTAGGGCTGGTGGCTACACAGTGTTAAATTCTATAATCGTTCTTTGAACAGTATATATGTCTTATGTATACTTTTATACATGGACATACAGAATTCACAACTTACAAAAAGAAAAAAAAAGAATAAATATGACTTAAAAGTTGCTAAATCACCTTCATATTTTCTCTTGGACTCCTCTTGGCTTGGTAGTTTACTGCTACCGTGAGGAATTACATGGACTATTCCAGTAGATTTTTCTTTATGACCAGTGTTTCCTGTTATCTTTTTACTCTGGAATTCAGAAAAGCAGCAAAAGCTCATCTTTTGGGTACAGATAACCTTAAATTGTATTTAATTCAATGAATACAAATACTTTTTTGTATAGATCAAACTACTGTAGCCTATTTTGTAAAGACTAGTACAGTGGGGCCTTGACTTACGAGTTTAATTCGTTCTGTGACGGAGCTCGTAACTCAAATTACTCGTATGTCAAATCAAAAGTGAATGAGTGAGACACGTGATGCTGGGCTGATGTTGTGGCATTCACTGTGACGTTTGCTGCGCCAACTAGAGGTGGGGTACCTGAAGCTGGCTCATAACCGGAATTTTAGCTCACAACTCAAAGCAAAAAATCAGCCGAGAGACGGCTTGTATCTCGAAAAACTCATTAGTCGGGACACTCGTAAGTCAAGGCCCCACTGTAGCTCTGCCCACAAATCCGTGTGCTCGTAGCTCGCTGCCCTGCCCTCCTGTAGCTCTTGGCTGCTTGTAGATCTGTCATCATGTTACGGCATCCTGTCTAATTTGCATATTCCTCTATTATTATATTAGATATATTTAATTAGATGTTGCAAGATTTCAAATTTGCTGTACCTTAGTTGTCAAAGATGGCACGTCTTCCGATTTTTGGGTCCCCTGTTGTCTTGTACTTGTAAATGGAACATTTTTCCTGTCTGTCTGCACTGATTTTGTTGAAGAAACTGCAGAACAAGTACATTACATATAAGAAACATGTCTGACATTTGGAAGCAATACTGACTGTAAGTATAAAATAACTGACACTTCGCAGCATAATGAAACAAAGTACACTAGATGCTTTCTAAAACCTTTCCATCTATGTGTAACATTTGCCACTATCATCTTTCTCCTCCCACAAAGGCTATGGGTGTCCCAGAGGCTGAGTCCAAAGCCAGCTGGCATTAGATGGGTCTGTGTGGCTGTTCGAGGACAGGGCTGTCCCTGCCTGCAGCCAAGACTCAGAACTTAGGCATGCAACCACGAGAGTGGGCACTGCCAGCCGTGTCGGAGCTCCTGCCTGCTGACCGATGGTTAGGTGGCCCAGGCGAAGGGGCGTGACTGCTCTTTCTCTCCCATTTAAATGGCCCCATGGGTGGTTTTACCATTTTCTCTGCTGGCTGTTACTCTGGATCATAAACCAGAGGCAAACAAAGGAATTCAAGGAAATGTGAGGCGGTTGCCTTTAAAAGAGCCCGGCTGGTGTGGCCCAGTGGTTGAGCACCACTCTATGAACCAGGAGGTCACAGTTTGATTCCCAGTCAGGGCACGTGCCCAGGTTGTGGGCTTGATCCCCAGGAGGAGGCGTGCAGAAGGCAGCCCATCGATTATTCTCTCTCATCATTGATGTTCTATCTCTCCCTCTCCCTTTCTCTGAAGTCAATAAAAATACATGAAAGACCAGTAAATGCATAGGTACTTCTCCCGAAACAGGGTGAGTGTCTCTAGTGTCTCTCTTCCGAGCAGAATGTTCCACTGGGAGCCCTTGGGTGGCAAGTAAGCACATCTAGTCCTGAGGGGGAGTACTGCTCAGGAATAAAAGTGACTGATGACAGTAGCAGCAACATGGGTGAGTCTCAGAAACATGGTGCTGGACAGAAGCCAGGCACAAAAGAGTAGCCACTATGACCCCATTGGTATGAAGCTCTAGAACAGGCAAACTACGCTGTGTGACAGAAGGGACTCAGCGGAGGCCTCGGGCCAGGGGTGGGGGCTACTGGGCGCAAAGTGGGCACCAGGGAACCTCCCCAGGAGAGGGAACTGCTCCATGTTTTCACTGTGGTGGTGGTTACATGGGGATCATGTAACCTACTGAACTGCACTCTTAAAATGGGGCATTTTAGTGAGGTAAACTGTAATTAAATAAAGTTGATTTTTATTTTTTAAAATTTATTTATTCTTTAGATGATTTTTAATTGATTTTTAGAGAGAGAAAGGAAGTGGGAGGGAGAGAGAGAAACATCATTGTGATAGCAGAACTTCTATTAGCTGCCTCCTGCATACCCCCTACCAGGGATTGAGCCGGGGACCCGGGCCTGTGTCCTGATCGGGAATCGAACCAGCACCTTTTCAATGCACTGGATAATGCCCGATCAACTGAGCTGTACTGGCCAGGGATAAAGTTGGTTTTTATTTATTTACTAGAGGCCCGGTGCACAAAATTCATGCACTGGGAGGGGAGAAGTGTCCCTCAGCCCAGCCTGTACCCTCTCCAATCTGGGACCCCTCGGGGGATGTCCAACCAGTAGTTGGACATTCCTCTCACAATCCAGGACTGCTGTCTCCCAACTGCTTGCCTACCTGCCTGCCTGATTGCCCCTAACCTCTTCTGCCTGCCAACCTGATCACCCCTTAACCACTCCCCTGCCAGCCTGATTGATACCTAACTGCTCCCCTGCTGGCCCAGTTGCCCCCAACTGCCCTCTCCTGCTGGCCTGATCGCCCACAACTGCCCTACCCTGCCAGCCATCTTGTAGTGGAATGGGGGTGGCCAGCTTGTGCAAGGGCGTGATAGTCAATTTGCATATTACCCCTTTATTACATAAGATTATTTATTTATTTAAAATATATTTTATTGATTTTTTTACATAGAGGAAGGGAGAGGGATAGAGAGTTAGAAACATCGATGAGAGAGAAACATTGATCAGGTGCCTCCTGCCCCCTACTGGGGATGTGCCCGCAACCCAGGTACATGCCCTTGACCAGAACTGAACCCAGGACCCTTCAGTCCGCAGGCCGACGCTCTATCCACTGAGCCAAACAGATCAGGGCAGGATTATTTATTTTTAAAATATATTTTTATTGATTTCAGAGAGGAAGGAAGAGGCAGGGAGAGATAGAAACATCAGTGATGAGAGAGAATCATTGATTGGCTGCCTCCTGCACACCCCACACTGGGGATTGAGCCTGCAACCCTGGCATGTGCCCTGACCAGGAATTGAACTGTGGTTCACAGGCCAATGCTCAGCCATTGAGCATACCGGCCAGGCTACGTTGGGTTTTAAATCCACACTCTGGCAAATAGATATTCTTAGCAAGTTCAACATTTGGCAGCTACTTTGCTTCAAGCTGCAAAATCCTCCTTTCACTCCGCCTGAAGTAACACTCAGGACTGAGCGGAGGGTGGGAAGACAGGAACAAATTGCTATTCTTCTCTAGTTGTTGCAACCATAGCGCAGTTTTATTATTTTCCTAGAGTCACAAGATGTGTTTCAATGCCTAATAAAATGATTTTCTAAACATCTATTATTTTGGTGATATAAGGAAAATCTGACTAGATACTTAAGAATAGATTTTGAGGAAAAATAGTTAAAACATACCTATTGGATAATCTTCTTTGTCGTGTAAATTTTTCGCTATCCGATTAGTATAGATGTTTTTAATGTCAAGCTCTCGATCTTTCTCCTAAAAAGAGCCACAAAATCAATTTTTCTATAAGTATTTGTTTTTTTATCAACCTTGATTTCTTCTAAAAAACAATTTGAGTTCAGTATTTTCTTTTTTTTAGAGCATATCTTTTTTACTTTTTATTATATTTTTATTGATTTTAGAGAGGAAGGAAGAGAGAGAGAGAAACATCAATGTGAGAGAGATACATCAATCTGTAGCCTCCATATTTCCCCCAACGGGGATCACACCTCAATCTAGGTATGTGCCCTGACTGGGAATTGAACCGGTGACCTTCTGGTGCACGGGACAATGCTCTAACCAACTGAGCCACACTGGCCAGGGCAAGTTCAGAATTCTTTGAATAAAATCTGTATTTCTAGCAGAAATAGAAATAGGCTATAGCAGTGGTTGGCAAACTCATTAGTCAACAGAGCCAAATATCAACAGGACGATTGAAATTTCTTTTGAGAGCCAAATTTTTTAAACTTAAACTATATAGGTAGGTACATTGTTATTAACTTAATTAGGGTGCTCCTAAGGCTTAGGAAGAGTCACACTCAAGGGACCAAAGAGCCACATGTGGCTCGCCGGCCGAAGTTTGCTGACCACGGGGCTATAGCATTACATATCATTCCTGACATAAAAAAAACACTTTTTAACAGAGTGACATAGTATTATTATGATGGGACAATGTTTTTGAAAAATTTCTGAGCTACCTTCTTTCACTTGTTTCCATTCCCTACGTTTCTTATTCTTTTGCATCGCCCATATAGTGGCCACTAGCCATTTAAACTAATTACACTGATTTAAACTAATTAAAAAACACAAAAAAGAATGAAATCTTACCATTTGTGTCACATGGATGGACCTAAAGGGTATTATGTTAAGTGACAAGTACCATAGATTTCACTTATATGTAAAATCGAAAGAATATAAACAAACAAACAAAATAGAAACAGACTCATATAGACACTGAGGGGAGGGGAATGGGAGGACTGGGTGAAAGGACTGAGAAGTACAGATTAGTAGTTACAAAACAGTCATGGGGGCATAAGGTACAACAGAAAATATAGTCAATAACATTGCATGGTGCCAAGTGGGTATTGGTAATATTGGGGGAACACTTTGTAAAGTATATGGGTGTCTAACCACTATGTTGTACACCTGCATCCAATACAAAATAATATTGAAAGTAAACTGTAATTAAAAAATAAAAATAAACCAATTAAACTAAACAAAACTAAACTAAAAAATTCAGTCCTCAGTCACACTATCCATATTTGGAGGGCTCGGTAACTTTGAATCCCAATATTCTTTTAAAAGTCTCAGCAAAATAAAAGGTCTGAAATCCTGGCTTGTTGAGGAAAACAAAGACTCAATGAAATGCTGAACACTGCTTCTTACACATACAGCAAGAGGCACGCCTGTTAGAATCAGGACCACTGAGGTTGGCCTGTGGATTAAGGAAGTCTCCCCCGTCTGATTAGGGAGGAAAGCCCAGGAAGAAAGGGCCCAGGGATGGGGAGAGAAAAGAAACAAAAAAGATCTTGATGTTTAGAGGGTCAAGTTTTGATTATCTGGAAAACGCGGTTATATCTTTTTAGTTGAGGGTCAGCCTGTACGTCAGCAGCGGAGAAAAGAAAGAGGCAGGTCACGAGCTGCCGACTGACAGGTGCAGGATGGCCGGGTCAACAGGAAGGAGCATGAAGGGCAGTCCTCCTTCATGCTTGGCACCAAGGTTTAAGTCGGTACCCAGCACAGAGCGGGCCCAGAGTGGAAGACCACAGGGTCAGAACACAGTGCGGAAACCTGTGTGGGTGTGTTCCATTGGTTAATCAAGAGAAACAATAAGAAAGAAAACCCGCATCTCGGAACGCTCAAGGAATGCTCGTTGACTCTTCGTAGGGAAGAGGAGCCCTGACAATTGGGAAGCAGAATGTCACCAATGTTGTTGCGTTTGGCTGGAAGAAGTACCTTCAGTTTTTGCTGGAGGAGTTTGACTTCCGTCTGCAGAGTGTCCTTGGCGGTCTGGGCGGCCAGCGTCTTCTGGTTCTCGATGGCCAGCTGCCGGCTGAAGGCTTTGTTGTTCAACCGCAGCTGCTTCTCCAAGTTCTGCAAACAGCGCATGTTTCAATGCTCGTAACCAGCACGGTTTATCAAACCTCTGACTGTCATGGACTCATGACACTTATGAGAGGTGCAAATTTTTAATACAATATTAGTGATGGCTTGTACAGGGGACATTTTCTAGAACTAAGTTGAACCACAAAGACAAAATCCTGGGCACGACTCTAGAGAATAAATATGTTTTGAGCTGAATGTTTTTTACATTCTGAAATTTGATAAACATTTTTTTGAACAGGTTCCGAAAATCAATAGATATAATCACTGTCACACTTTAAGCCCAAGTAGGTCTGTTATGTGAAGTATTCTGCTAACGCCCTGCTAAGTCCTCACCTAGTGTGGTCAACAGGTTCTTGGAAACTGACTTTAAGTGAACGATGTAGAACAAAACCAATGCTACCGTGGGCTGATGGATATAAATTAGGTAAGTTCCTATGGCATATTTCTGTCATAAAAATCACCAAACCTCTAAATAAAGACGGAACATTCTGATATTAAACACGGAAATAAGGGCGAGCTCTTCACACATTTAAGACAGATGAATAAAAGCAAGCTAATTCTTTCCAACCTGCAGATTCCAGCTCAGGGCTGTGGGTGGCTGGGGCCTCTCCTGGCAGCTCAGGGCGCCAGGCGGGACCCCCCTGGACCGGACACCCTGCAGCACAGGCACACTCCCACCCGCAGCCCCTCATGCTGGGACAAGGCAGACACGCTGCTGCCCTGCACGTGCACGCCTCTGGACCATGGGAGGAAACCAGAGTCCCAGGGCAAACCCGCAGACGTGGGGAGCCAATGCCAACTCCGCAGGGACAGGCCCTGGCCAGGAATCGACGTGTTTTTCCTCCCTGATGCTATAATGACATGGCGCCGAACGAAACAAGGTCATTCGAGGACCTGCTGACTTCTCCAAAACCCTCTCAGCCTCTCTTCCTGAAGTCGCCCAGCCCATGGAGCCCCTGGTGGCCGGCGGTCCTGCTGCCTGGGACAGCAGGGCTCCTGGTCTCACGGGCCCCACGCAGACGGAAGCGGCCGCGGAGCACGGCCACGGCCACGCCAGCTCAGGACTCGCTGCTGCAGCTCACCTCCCGGGACGGGAGCTCTGTCACTGGAGATGTTTGGTCTGGACTCTGACAGAGGCGTGGCCAAAAGCCTTTTCTTTCTTTTTTCTTTTCCATAAAGTATGGTTTCCCCGTGAAAACATTAAGACTTCCTCATTAAAGGAAAGTGGGAAGTATGGTATGTAAAAGGGTGATATAACACTAAAACACTCACTCCCTACAATATTAACACTAAAAAATACCTACGTGTTTTGGCCCACAAACCTCCCCCCCACAAAGTGCCCTACAACCAAACGGAATTTCCCATGTAACCAAGTGCTTCTGACTGGAAAATACGCAACTACTTCTTGAATTCTTGTTTTGCTTATTGATATAAAAACATGCAGATGTAAAGATATGTAGATGAGATAAAAATACAGTTACTTTTACACGACAGACACGTGCTGAGATGGACCTAATGTTGCCCAACAGCCACACGAGAGAACTTCGGTCTCCGACTTGCACGAGTGTAATGAAGTGGCTCATTATTTTCTGTAGCTCACTTATCCACTGTAGGTGAGAAAATTCTCTTTGAAATAGAGGAGGATTTTACCAAAGAAGAAATAACTGGGATTAAAAAAGCAGATTGAAACGAATTGATATTTTCTAATTATTTCAAGATCGTAAAAAATACTTATCTCTCATCATCACATATTAAGGAATTAAACAGTAAATCAGTTCCATTTATATTTATGCTCAGTGTCACCCAGGTTCTCTCCCCACTCATCCCTCCAACGGGATCCCAGCTCTGGAAGCCACACATCATCAGGGAGACCAACCCATTAATGTCTCCAATTGCTTTAGTTCCGTTTCCCTCTGTGCTCGCAGGAGAAGTATCTGGGAAAAGTCCCGTTTCTAAAATTCCAAAATGTCTGTGTGTAGTGACTGGACAAACGGATGAGGGAGCAGGCAGGGGAAGGGACTGAAGACACACGCTGTGAGGTCATCAGGGAAGTAGCCTTTTAATAGAGAGCTTGAAGTAGAGGGTTGCTTTCTTTTTTTTTTTAATATATTTTTTATTAAGAAATTACAGAGGAAGAGAGAGAGATAGAGAGTCAGAAACACCGATGAGAGAGAAACATCGACCAGCTGCCTCCTGCACATCTCCTACTGGGGATGTGCCGCAACCCAGGCACATGCCCCTGACCGGAACCGAACCTGGGACCTTTCAGTCCGCAGGCCGACCTCTATCCACTGAGCCAAACCGGTTTCGGCTGCTTTCCTGAATTTTAAACAGA